TTTAAGAGAACAATGAAGCTCCTATTGGAGAAATTACATTTTATTTTACTTATATTTAGAGACCTAGTTTTGTACCCGGGCGTTGCCCCGGGTGCAACTCCCATATGAACTTTGTAATTTTGATTGCCAAAATTAAAGCATTGAAACATGTATTAATTTGATACTGTATAGTATTAATAATATACTGCGTATATAATAATAAAGAACTTGGAATCCGTAATACATTACAATAACTTAATTGCATAAAAAAATGCAAGACTATGTTTCGAAATTCTTGAAAACCTCTCTATAGACAACATTTATGGTATTAGAGGAAAATTCAAGTTCTTTAGAACAAATCAAAATCTTCTATCCTTCTTTGCTCTTGACTCTTGATATGGAAACATATAATTGATCGTGAGTGAAGACATTTTTTTGAGATATAGCCCGACTTGAGATAATGACTAACTTTGGCTCTTGTTGATGATCATCGCAAAACATAACATAACTTGTAATTGCTTCCTCAGAAAACTATAAGGTAGTGTTACGTCAAATGGAGACAACGACACTCTGGAAATGTGATCGGTGTCCCCCATATTTCTTCCAGTGATGATCTTTACTTCTACACATGTTTTGCAAGTTTAGTGAGAGTCAACGTGGTTCCATTATAATTCGTGATCAGGCATCCCCGAGATTGAGAGACTATTAAGAAATTTTTGAGTATACATGTCACTTTCACGACACAAACCAATATTTGTACTAATAATGTTATCTGAGCTGAGGTACGTGATTTGGTCACCATGAATCAAAGATAGCATGTAGTCATTTATTTGAAGAAACACGTCTAAAGTAGGAGCAAATATTGCTCTTTCGTGCATGTAAGTTGGATCACTGAACCGTTCCTACATGATAAGGCATCCCCGAGGATTAGGCCTGGACTTGAGCCGGGCGGCCTGACCCGGAACCGGCCCGGCTACTGTGGGAACTGGCCCGGCCCGGTGGCACGGTCCACCGGCGGTTCGGGTCAAACCGGCCCGGTGGGTACCGGTTCCGGGCTCGGGCCCTGATTTTGGTGAACCGGTCCGGGCCGGAATTTAATTTTTTTTCATTTCTTTTGGACTGTTGCGCTTGGGCTTGCTGTTTAGGCCAGGTTTGGGGGGTTTGGGGGGTGGGGGTGAGGGGGGGGGGGGGGGGAGAAAAGAAAGGAAGGAAAAAAAATTAAACCGGGTGGCCCGAACCGGCCCGGTCCGGCCCGGAACCGGACCCGGGACCGCCCACCCCCGGTTCGGGCTCGGGCCTCCTATTTCTGAACCGAGGCCCGGCCGGGCCCAGGCCCGAGGCCCAAACCGGCCCGGTTCAGTCCAGCCCTACCGAGGATTAGTGCTATTAACTATAGTTGCTAGGTAGTTATCTCCCCCTTCGTAAGAAATTTATCCGGAATTTTCACATCTGAAACTCCATCTAGTTGTGTTCCAGTATCAACGTCCCCAACCTATAAAATTATTGAACCCAACTTTTCAATGTCACTATTTTCATCAGGAACAGTTGAACGTAATCTCATGTTCTTTGTGACACCCCGAAATGCACAAGCGCTCCAAAGGTAAGAGGAGTTGATGGTTGCCATCACCACATCGGCTCTCCCCCTGGATTAATGACTAACAAAATTGTCAGAAATCTCCTTCGAGAACAACAACCTTCCCTCTAAACGACCAATTTTCATTATGCTCATAATATCTTTCAAAATCCTATCTAAAGTCTCAAAACAATGTATGTCCACCATTGATGCTTCCTCCCATCTAATTAAGGATGTTGATTGGAGGAGCTTTGCCTTGGGACTTCCTTGATTAATATTACAATCGTATATTTCAGAGGTGTTTAGTTGGACAGAAAACATCTGGAATATGTTGTTCTACCTCTAGGCAATAGTGACGATGTTATTCCACTTGATGCAACTGCAAGAACAATGATTCCTTCACTCCTAATAAATGTTGCCACAATATTCCATAGAAACATTTTTCCAGTTCCACCGTATTCATAGACAAAGAATAACCCTATATAAAAGAGGAAGTATGATTCACTACGTGATAACAGTTTTATTGTGAATATATTAAAATTTATATATTCAATTTAAATTTTACAATGTCCATACTAACATACAATTTGAAAATAAAAAATTACATTTACCACCGGTGTTTCTAAGCATAATTTTGATGATGTCCTTGTACATACACTTTTACTCATCAGTTAATTGGTCAATAAGATGTGGTAGTTGTCATGCCAAGTCTTCTGTGTCATACTCCATTTCTTCATTTATAAGTGCATTTTATCATAACTTACATACGTTGCATCCTATTTCGGCATACGTTCAAAATTTGCAAGGCCTTTTCCGTTTCTTTGTAATATTCATTCACCATCTGCGAGACATTTATTCTTGAAGTTCTCTATATTATGCTCTGCCTGCATTGACATACAATAGTTATTTAGACACTATATGAGTATTTTATTTTATAGTTAGACTTAATAATAATTTGAATTACTTTATGTGCACAGGTTTAATCTCTCAAAAGGTGTTTCATATAATCTTTGATCATCATCTTCCAACACGATTACCAGACATTTTGAGGTATGTGGACCGCGTATGAAGTAACATAGCGGCAAATAAATACCTCAAGTACCTGGGAGATGCCCAAAAATTAAACCCTTTGATCTCAACTTGTACTCAGAACGACGTAGAAACATGACGATGTGGGCATGTGAGAGACGTCGTTTTTGAAATTCAATAGTGTAAATAAATGTGTAATCAGTGAAGTGAATTAGTATGCGATTATATTTATTGAGATAATAGCCCTAAATAGGACCGAACTAATCCCTAAAACGCATAAACACGCTATGTTATTTATCTTCCCAAAATATGAGTAAAGTATATCTTATCTTCCTATTCTACCCTTACCATAACTTAATAGGATAATCATATTTTAATTTGTAATAACAAAAAAATTAATAAAAAAATAATTCAACTTATACAAAAAAATTGGAAAAAATATAAACAATTCTTAAATATTTTTAAAAAGTACTATAAATAATAAAATTTTTAAAAAATAAAATTAAAAAATTTAAAATAAAAAATAGATAAAACACATTAAAAATATTAAAATATGGAGGCCTTTAATTTCTTGCATCTCATGCCACTGCCTAGTAATGCTACCTTCAATAGGCTTAAAAATATCACATTGTATAAAAACAACCATTTTTATTTTATAATACCATGGAGATGACATTTTTACTCTTTGAATATGTCAAAATTTTTCAAAAATAGCCATTAAGATGGCATTTCTAACACATGTTGGTATTTTTTTTGGTGGTTTGAGCTGGTGTTGCTGGGAGATTGTTGAGGGGGTAACATAGGCTTGCACATTTTTTTATATAATTTTTTTACGCTTAAATTTTTTATTTATTTATTTTAAGTTTTTTATTTATATGTAATATTTTATTTTATTTTAATTTTTATTTTTATTATTTGTATTTAATTTTTTTTTTTACATTTTCCTTATAAATAGAGTTATGTTATTACTTTTTTTAAATATTAATGAAATGTGAATTTTATTAGAAGGGCAAAAGTATATTTGAAATATGAATTGTATAAAAAGGGCAAGGGTAAATGCGAACATCATGTTATACCTCCTAATATTTCAGAAATATTTTAGAATCGGTGTGTATTTCGTTGAATAGACTACGTAGGACATCTGGAGGGGCAAATCGACTTTCCCTACTTTGCAATACATGCTGAATTTAGGTTTTTTACTCTTGACGTGACGCTTAAGTCTTTCCTCGTACCACATCTTAGCCTTGCAAATTTCGCACTCCCATGTAGGATCATTGTCGTCTATATACTGCATTGCATGACGAATTGACAATTGATCGTGTAGCTATTAATCCTATTATTCAATTAGGGTAACTCACTAAGGATGTTTTTACTTGGACTGTAATTTTATAGTTTGGTCTGATCTGGTCTGGCAATGTCTGAGCTCTTTGTATTTTTATAACTATCCAAGTCTAGTCTGGGACAAATTACAATCCAAGTAAAAACATCCTAAAAATAAAATAAAAAAAATGTATTAAAATCTGATCAAGAAAAATAACAACAATAAACACAAATCTATTTTGAGTTTATCTAATACAGATTAGGAAAGTGATAAAATTATTTAAGGCTTAAGACTTAAATCTATTTTGAGTTGCTATTTATGCTTATCTAATACGGATATGCCTATTCACATGCTTGTTTTTAGCCTTTAAATTCTATTTCATGTTTATCTAATACAGAGGTGTAAACGAATCTGCCTTGATTCAATTTTAATTGACAACAATTATGGGTAAAATTAAAAATGATCAATTCCAATAATTGTACTCAATTGCAATTTATGTAGAAATCAATTTCAATTGAAATGACTCTACTTTATTAGTACTAAAGTAGATATCCCAAAAAAAATAGTACGGAGTATATTATTTGGGAGTGTTTGCAATTGTCTATATTTTCTAAAATGATTTGGAAGTGATTTTAGAGAAAATGATTAATAATAAAAGTTGCTCGTGTTTTGGAAAAACAAAAGTTAGAAGTGTGATAAAATAGTTGTTTTTAGGTAAAAGAATAAAACTAAACTGTAATTTTATTTGCTAGAGTATATTAAAATGTTAAATCTATATATATAGTAAAACACAAAAGTCCCAAAGAGGGAGAACAAGGGGTTGTTGGGCGGGAAAGAATGTTACTAAAAAATGAATGTCCCAACCGTGTGGAAATGTGGAATACAGATGGACATAGTAAGCAATAGTGTGGAATACACTTTTTGCCACATCTTTAATACTTAAATTAATACGTAGTACTCCCTCCGTCCCCCTAAGTTTGTCCCGTTTTACCTTTTTCGTCCGTCCCACTAAGTTTGTCCCATACCATATTTGGTAACATTTGAGTGGTTAGAATTCATTCTTACTTTATTTACACTTTATCAATTCAATACCAACCACACAATTCCACTTTTTCTTAAAAACCACACCACACCCCTCCGTCCCAAACTTAGGGGGACGGAGGGAGTATTTAATAAGATGCATACACCAACATTTATTGTAGAATACAAATGACCACAAATAAACAGAGAGGATTATGCGGCTGTCCTCAGTCCTGCCCTGCCGATTCTCATTCTTGCACGGTTTACAACATTCAAGCATTTAATACTATTTGTAGCTATACAATGAAATTCCTGATATAAATGGCCCATCGAGTGACTCCACCAAACCAGCTTCTTTTTGCCAACAAGTGCTCTGTGCTAAACATTCAGCTACTATCAACGTAAATTTTTTTATTAAGTTCTTTTTACATCTTTCCAATCAAATAATTTTTTTATTAAGTTCTAATAATGTTATGTAAAAAAAACTAGATGCTATTGGACAGGTTGTTTCAAAGAAAGCGGTTGAAGAAGTGATGTATCATGGAAGACCTCACAAATTGATAGAGGTCACTTTGCAGGATCCAAGGTTCCCTAATATTTTTATTCTACAGTTTATCTTTTTAGTGCATATTTCTACTTGGCACATATGTATAATTGTAAGTGTTGTAAAATAATACAGGTTGAATCAAATTCTTCCATATATAGGCAATAATCAGACTGAAGCAGTCATTGTGAGTTGTGACTTTACAGTTTTGTCGGGCAGGAATATTCAGAGGTTAGTGTGTTATAGAGATGATTCAAATGTGTATAATAACGGCAAAACAGCAATATTCAGTAAAAATAATGCAAAAAATGGTATATTGAAAATATATTTAATTAGGGAAAATGGCAGATTTTAAAAGTTCAATAGGGAAAATGGCAGATTTTAAATCAAAGAGTGCACAATTTGGGAGAAAAAGAGGTGTAGCTGTCACCAATGATAAAGGTAAGACAGTAAATTGATTTCTAGAGTCATAGCACAGCAGTGCAGTATTTATAGTTTCGTAAAAACAGTTCAAATTTGTACTATATGGATGATAAATAAGGGTTTAATTGAATAAGTGAACTATAGTCAAATATGTTTCATTGAAATTGCATCTCTGTATTATGGTCCAGATTTAAAAAATAAGGGTTTTTATTCAAACCAGACTGAATAAAAACGAAATTTACGCATTTCCGTACATTTTGTACTAACGATGGCAGATTAATCAATTTGATATTTACATGCATTTATTTCATAAAAATAATTGAAGTACTTCAGAATCTATACAAAGCAGCGGAAAAAACACTTATCTCTCCAAATTCGTTGAAGATTGTGGCTGAGATCCTTCAGATTTCTCCGAAAATGAGGCCGGTAAATGTATAGATTGTCGATGCTGCAGGTGTGATTCACGTAGAAGATGGAGGTGCGTTTGAAAACGCTTGCCGATTCAGGTTTAGGAGCTGTGGGGTTGTGTATCTATGGTTCTGTTTGAGATCGGGATGAGGATGATGAAGATTGGCATGAAGGTGGAGTCAGAGATGTGAAGATCGGCCTTCCAGCATCTTCTGCGCCTGAGAATGAGATCGAAGAGGGATATGGATTATTATTTTCGGTCCTGGGGACTTTTGGTCTGCAATCAAAAATTGGGTTTTTAGTATTTTGGGCCTAAACTACTTGACTGGAATAAAAAAATCGCTATGGGCTGAATTCTGAATTGAGTTGTGAAATATTTACAACTTATAATGCAAATAAAAAAGATTTAGATAAAAATTACTCCCTCCGTCCCTAAATAAACTTCCAACTTCCCTTTTTCGTCCGTCCCAATTAAAACTTCCACTTTCCCTTTTGGCAAAGAATTTGTGGTTCACAACAATTCTTACACATTTCTCTCTCTTTTGCACAACTCTCCACCACACAATACCCACTATCTTAAACTGTGTGCCAAACCTATTTCGAAGATAAATTAGGGACGGAATGAGTATATTTTTTTAATGCAATGATAGGACTTTTTTGAAATATATGCCTATTTTATTTGAAATTCATGAAGTGTTATATCAATTCAAACAAATTGTGAATATAAATCTATTATTATTTTAGAAATCAAATTACAAGAATAGATAAAAATGTATAGAGAAAATTTGATTATGATTGTTTTTATAACTCACATTATTAACTTTTGTTTTTTATATTACTTGATTAGCTTAATCTCAAATGTTGATTAAAAAAATTAGTACATTATATATTTATAAAAAATTTATTAATATTTCAGATAAAAATGGTGGCCCGTTGCTTAAAACAATAAGCAAACATTGGCCTCAGATCCGCTCTCGGGATTGCCTTTGAGAGAGTCTATAAATGGTAATTTATTAAATTTGGGTATGTGCTATTTATACCTATGTATACAATTTAATAATTTTTGACGTTTTTTATTATTTTTTTTACGTTTTTTATTATTTTTTATGAATTTATTATTAATTAAGAACTTTCAAAAGCCTCAAGAGCATATTTGCCCAAATACACATAAAATAGTCTTACTAGGGGGAATAAAAAACATGTAGTCCTATTTGTGCTTTTGGATCACTTTTTGACATATATAGGGAATTAACTCATTATATTTACAATTCATATTATTTCATCATGACAATCTAATTTATAGGTGAGAAATTATTAAATTACATAAATTTTGTATGAGATATATATTTTTCCGTGCATCGCACGGGTAGAATACTAGTTATGTAGCATGACAGAAGGATGCTAGTGAGGGGAAAGATATGCAAAAAATGAAATTGGGTCAAAGTAATACTCCCTCCATCCCTAAATTTAGTTCCAACCGTCCCTTTTTGGCAAAGAATTTGTGATTCACATCATTTCTTTCTCCTCTGCACAACTCTTCACCACATAATTTCCACTTTCTTAATCACCGTGCCACTTTAATTTGGAACAAGGACGGAGGGAGTAGAAAAATAAGAATAGATTGGATGCTCCACCATACACGGTAATGAGAATTTCCAGCCACTAGTGGAAAAGAAAAGGCAAATTTCCATGAAGATTCTATTTAGTTTTGTCCTTTTCTGTTTTATACTTTTATTATCGTTTCTCGTTTAGAATGGGAACCCATATCATCCCCCACTCCTATCTCCATCATTCCTTGTTTTCTATAATTGGTGAGTACTACGTAATATATTTCCCTCCTTACATTAGAAGTGGTTGTTGTGGTGTAGGCAAGCAAATTATTGTATGTCAGGAAAAAGATAACCGACCAGAAAGGCACAGACTATGAAATTACTTGAATCTGTACATTGAGTGTCCTATCAAAGTTATACCTATGTGGGTCGGTTGGCGAGGGAACTTACCCAAATCTACAACTATATTTCGTAGACCCGTAGACTGAGTCACATCTTTTTCAAAATAGGGTTGTCATATTTTTATTCCCAAAATATAAGTAATTATTGTCAAGTTTGGAAAATACTGACATGTTTGAAGTCGGATACTGCCACAACATGACAGTAATTAGTCCTATTTTGACAATAAAAACATGACAATCCTATTTTGGAATTTTCAAACTTTTTAGTCCTATTTCAGATAATATTCTCCAAGCAAATTTGAACCCATTATAATCATCCTCCTAAGAGTTGGACTTGGGGTACACACTTTTTGGTGTACACACTTTTGCACATGCTTGTGTAGTTTTTTTTTGTCTGTATACAGACAAAAAAAAACTGTACACAGTCATGTGTAAAAGTGTACCCAAAAAAGTGTGTACCATTGGAAATTTTCACCTCCTAAGGATATTCTCTAAAAGAGATTATTTGAATAATGAGCTAGGTCCTGTACCCTAGGGCCGTTATACCTGAGCATGGGCCGCATCAGGTCCAGAACACAACATGTCTAAGAAAATGATCCGGGATTATATTATTTAATTACTTATCATGTATTAAACGTCTATAAATAGGCCATCAGTCTCATGTAATCACGACGCTAGGTTATTCTTATTACACTGAAGTGATGCCGTTTTCTCGACTCAACCTAGCTATTTTCTATCGACATTGGTGCTTTCAGGAGGAAGATGACCGAAACATCACTACAGAAGCGAGTTTCCATCCACACTACTGCACACTCTGGCCTGCCCAACAACCACCACATGAGTATCCGGGTGGTGATGTCGACAAGAGATTTCCGGAACCAACTTTTGAAACCAGAAGACCTGACGGGTACACTAGACCGCAGTCGTGAAAGGAAATCTGCTCGTGATCGGCTCGAAGGTGAGCCCAGTTGTGCTTTATACGCATGCATGAACCCGACACAACTTGATGTTGGGGTCCAAGCCCTCTAGGCCACCCTCGCTATTGATCTGAGGCTTTGGCTCAATGTTTCCAATGGTTGATAAATGCCGAAGGAGACAATTGACGTGCACTTTGTCGTGAGTGCACTCAAAATAAATTCAATACAACACTTATACGTAGTATAGTGAAGTAGAGTTCGTATCCACAGGGAAAGGAATAACTCTTCTTTTTATGTAACTAGTAAATAAAAGGGGGGATTTGGGATTGAGTGATTTAATTAAATTAAACACGAAGATGAACGAGTTATATGGGATTAAATTCAAGAATAAAAGGGACTTGGTCTTGCTACTTTCCACTTATTGATGTATTTTAGTCGATCATTGTTATATCCATAACTTATCCCCTCTCGAATACTCAATCGCGGAGTATCTCCAATTCATCGAGGGTAGTTATTAACAACGACCGTTCATTAATAACCCTTACTATTAATCAAATATAGAACAACGCCGTATACCGATATAATAGTAGCATTTAATCTCTTAACTCCTTGATGAAATCAATTGAGATTGATAACCTCAACACAACGGTTTTGGTTTAACCAACAAAATTAATCCCTCTTAAGTTTATTAATCACGACCGTGCATTAAAAAACCGAAGTTACTTACTTGTGAAACCATCAACGTTTAACCATCGGTTCGTTGATCGTTTCTAGTAATAATCAATGTCGGAACGTTAACTAATCGTCACTTAGCCACCCTCCAACATTAATATAGAATGAGATTAAGGGAAGAATTAATAATCAAGAGGAGAAAGTAAGAAAATAACTCACAACTTTAATAATCAACAAGCTTCAAGAGCAAAACCAAGAAATGGAAGTTTAGCTCCTCATTTGGAGACTAAACATGCTAAAAGAAATATAAAGAAATGCTATTCTAGACTGAGCTTAAGTATAGGAAAGAAGGGATGATCTTTAGTGAAGGAAAATGGGGTTATTTATAGGTGTTTTCAACACCCTGGGGCATTGACCCGCCCGGGTAAAAGGACATACCCGACCGGGTCAACGTCAAAATCAGATTATCTCCCACGATTCCTTGTTTTCAGCACGTTAACTTGTCCGGGTCAAGTCAGACCCGACCGGGTCAAGTAAGGGACCCGACCGGGTTTGACCAAAATTAGATCTTTTCCAAATCTGCAGCATGTTCTGGTGCTCCGGGTCAAATCTGACCCGACCGGGTCGAGTAAGGGACCCGACCGGGTCTGTGTTCCTGAGAATTTTTGTCTTCAGCTTTTCTTCCCTTTTGCTTGCTAAAAACTCTATCACTATTCTATAGCTAGAAATAGAAGGTAAAAACAATTACAACTAAAATAAAACAAATACTTACAAACTACTAAAAGTGATGGAAAGTCTACACAAGATCGATATAAAAACATACACTTATGCACTATAAACTAGTGCATATCAAACACCCCCACACTTGCACTTTTACTCGTCTCGAGTAAAATGAGTTCTGTTAAAGAAGTCCTTAAATGGCAAGAGTGGCAACACCTACAACCATAAGTGTTCAAAACAAATAACATAAAGTATTTCCAAAACCAAAAGGGTAAAAATGGGTCTTTAATTTCAGCTTCCTCATCCGATGAACTCTGTATAGTAATCACCCTCAGGATCATGCAAAATCAAAAGAAATACTTTCTCTCATTCTCTCATTTTGCCTAGGTGCCCTTTCGGGTTTTCAACCCAGCTTCCCACATTTTCCTTTTTGTTCTCACCAACTCACTCTTCTTTTTGCTTTTATTTTGCTTAAGTTGCCCTTTTGGGTTTTCAACATAACAAGCTTAATTTAATTTTTTTTTTATTATTATTATTAATAATGAAAAGCATGAAATGGGTGCATACCGGAATAGTTCTCAATGCCCCCACACGTAGGATAGGCACTGTCCCTAGTGCCCGCCCGCATCTCCTCCATCATAGGACCCTTCATAGCCGTGGTAACCGGTGAAGTGAGCATCTTCATCCATGTGATCACCTTGGTGCCCGTCATCTCTGCCCCCTCCACTAGAGCTTGAACCGCCGAAATAACCCCATTCAGTGGGGTTATACCATGAGGGTGCGGGAGGGGGGTTGCTCATAGTCGCAAAAGACCCTTGGTGTGCCACATAAGAGTATATCGGGCCAAAGGTTCTCCGTTGGTCCTCTTCATGCCTACGCCAATCCTCTTGCCTCCGTTCTTCAATCCTTTCGAAACTCTGCCGCTGCTCATTTCGATATAAAACAACTTCCCCCCGAAGTTGAGTGTAGTTGAGGTTTAGAGCATTCATGCTATTTAGCATTTCCTGCTCAAACGGTGAATATTGGTGAGCATGAGGTTGTGGTTGTGGTTGTTCAGGAATGAGGGGTGGTGGCTCAATTGGTTGCTCGTTAGCGGCGTTGTTGTTTCCATTGTTCTCTTGTTCATTGTCTGGGGGTGCATAATGAGCTGGGATCCCCCCGGGTAGACAATAATGGTGTCCATCACCAATTTGGTGATCAAGAATGTTAAGTGGGAGATTATCGGAAGGGAATGGGTGGTATAGTTCTTGGCCGGGTTTAATGTGCCAATGATAAATCTCCAGACCATCATGTTCTATGTGTGATAGGGTCACATCCCCAGCATTCTTTAGAAACTTAAGGCCAAGAAGGGTTCTTTTGTTTCGTGCACCATTGCATTGAAAACCATATAGCGTTGCGATGTGAGTAATTAGACCCCCTACCAGAATTGGTCCTCCACCATTTTTAACATTGATAATGTGATCCCAAAGCACTGTGGTGACATCGTACGGGCTAGCGCCCGGAAGAACAGCTTGTGCTAAGAGGCACACATCACTCACTCTAGTTTGATGGTTGTTTGGTCTCCCGAAAAGACAATTTGCCAAGAATTTGAAGAAAATTCGGAAAACCGGGTGTTGGATGTGGTTGACATTGAGGTGGGAAGTGCGAACATTGACAACTCCAGTCATTCTTCTCCATAGTTCATGGGCTACCGGTGTGCTATACGCGACAATTTCATCAAGCAAGGGTAGGCCGAAGTGTTCAACAAATTCTCTTTTAGTGAGTGAACGGTTCTCGTTGAGCATTCGAAAGTTGATCGTGTTATTGGTGTGATCATTTTCGTCTTTCACATGCTCAACGGAACTGTAGAACTCATACACTAAACGAGAATATGACCAATAATGCATATTAAAAATTTTCAGCATGCCACACCTTGTGAATATGTCCCTCATAATATCATCAATCCAAAAGAAAGTCAAGGTCAAATGGCACATAAATCGGGAGTGTTTTACCTCTCTTTCGGATTGTTCGAGAAAGCGTATGCGTTGCGCTTCGGTGACAAGGTCCACCTCCTCGAAGCCGTCAACCGGTGGAATAGCCCTTGGAGTCCTTGAGGAAGAAGGTTTTGCCCTTTTTGGTGCCATGGAGCTTTGGGTGTGGTGGGGTTTGGGACTTTGGATTTTTGGTGGGTTTTGGTTGTTTTGGGGTTGTGAGGGTGTAGGGGATGATTATTAGGAGAAGAAATTGGGGTTTGTTGGGGGTTTTGGGAGAAAAATCGGACCTATGAAGAAGGGGGGTTAGGGTTTTCGGATTTTGGGTATGAGTGGATTTGGGTGAGATTTTTGGGTGTAGAATGGAAGAGGGTGTTGAGGAGATGAAGAAAAAGTGTTTAGTTTATGGATTTGGTGGAGAAATGGGGAGGTTTGGAGCTTTGGAGATATGAAAATGGAGTTCTTGGGGTGGGTGTGTTCGAATTGGGGAAGATGAAGTGGGAGGAAGGGGTGTTCGCCCGACCTGGTATAGGCTGAAAAGCCCGATTACCCGGTCGGGTGGGGTGGTTTACCCGGGCGGGTTTGCTTTTCAGAGGCTGGCAGAATGATTTCCGGGTGTTTACCCGGTCGGGTAGGGTAGTTTACCCGGTCGGGTAACCCGAACTTTTTAAAACAGAAGCCTCTGGTTTAAATACCCGGCCGGGTGGGTTAAAATACCCGGTCGGGTTTGTTGAAAGTTTTAAACCAGAATGTTCTGGCTTCAATACCCGACCTGGTGGGTTAGTTTACCCGGTCGGGTTTGTTCAGTTTATTTTTTTTTTTTTTTTTTTTTTTTTTTTTTTTTTGAACACACACACTCTGCAAAATTTAATTAAAGTGAACATACCTTACATGGGTTGCCTCCCAAGAAGCGCTTTATTTAACGTCGTGGCTCGACGATATCTTCGTTGTTCTTTACTCATAGACCGGTTCAGAAAGGTCCATGACTTCCACATTTTTGGGTTGAAAACCCTCAAAGAAGGGTTTTAGTCTTTGTCCATTCACCTTGAGCACCTCGCCCGTCTCCAGGTCTTTAATTTCCACCGCCCCGTGTGGATATATTTTGACCACTTTGTATGGTCCAGTCCAACGGGATCTCAGCTTTCCGGGGAATAGACGAAGGTGTGATTGAAAAAGGAGGACTTTGTCATTAAGTTTAAAGTTCTTCCTTATGATCATTTTGTCGTGCCACTCCTTCGTCTTTCTTTTGTATATTTCCGCATTGTCATAAGAATCCATGCGGAGTTCTTCCAATTCTTGCAATTGGAGCTTCCTATGCAAACCGGCCTTGTCAAGATTGAGGTTGAATTCTTTCACCGCCCAATATGACTTGTGTTCAAGCTCTACGGGGAGATGACAAGCTTTGCCAAACACAAGTCTATAAGGGGACATACCAATTGGAGTTTTGTAAGCAGTTCGGTATGCCCATAGCGCATCATCAATGCGTATACTCCAGTCCTTCCGATTTGGGTTCACTGTTTTCTGGAGTATAGACTTCAACTCCCTATTTGAGGTTTCTGCTTGGCCATTGGTTTGAGGGTGGTAAGCAGTGGAGATCTTGTGAGTCACACCATATTTCTTTAGTAGGGATCCCACAATTTTATTACAAAAATGTGTGCCTCGATCGCTTATTAAAATTCGAGGGACCCCGAACCTTGAAAATATGTGTGTTTTGAGGAAACTAGCCACCACCTTGGCATCATCTGTCTTTGTTGCCTTTGCCTCCACCCATTTGGAGACGTAATCTACCGCAAGAAGGATGTAGATGTTACCTTGAGAGTTTGGGAAAGGTCCCATGAAGTCAATACCCCATGCATCGAAAATTTCACAGAAAAGCATGGGGTTTTGTGGCATCTCGTTTCTCCTAGAAATGTTGCCTGCTCTTTGACAATTGTCACAAGATCGACAAAAGCCATGTGCATCCCGGAATAGACTTGGCCACCAAAAACCACTTTCAAGAATCTTCATTGCAGTCCGTTTCGGGCCGAAATGTCCTCCACAAGCATAGGAATGGCA